TTATACATTACCTATAACCAATAGAAAGTTAAGGTTTTCATCTATCAAATGACATATTGTATAACATTGTATTCTTAGCAGAATATCATCAATTTCACTCAAAGTATAAGATTAGTTCCCTGGGAAAGTTAATGACTAGCTTGGATGAATTTGTAACAGGTCTTTTCGCATAGTTAGAAAACCAGTAACATTTTGAGAGGTAAGTGAATTTGTGTACTTTTTGCATGTTATTAGTCTATATTCTTTGGTGCCTTATTTAATTAAATAGAAATCATTACGTGCATTACTATCTATAGTATAAAAAGTTAGGGTTAACTCTCTTCAAAACCCGACAGCAAGAAAAAAGAAGATTAGGTAAGTACTTTATTTCTTGTTTTTCATACTTATTCTTTATTTATTATTGTAAAAGTAACTAAAATCTAAAAATGGGGATCTTTTTGTTTTTTTAGTAAAACTTTATAGTTTATCTGTTATTTTCTCTACCCTATCTCAAAACGGGATCAGTCAATTTGTTTGAAATGTATTTAGGGGGTTTTAGGGATTATGCAAAGGAAATTTGAGATTTTTGAGATGAGGAAAAGTATTTTTAATTTGAACATGAAAATTACTTTGCACACGGACTATGCAAAACAAGTACTCAATATATTCATGGACAAATCTTTATTTTATTAAAAATACTTCACTAAGAAATATGACTTGTAATATTAACTAAAAGACTGCCAAATTTCATTAAGACGTACTGATTATATTGAGTTATAATTATTAAATGTATAAAGACTTTAAATGAGTACAAATTGACCGAGCCCATATTAAAAGTGTTAAGGGGAAATCATCAGGCTTCACTCTAACAATTCCCTTGTGGTGTTTTGTGTTTCTCATAGATGAGGCACTTGGTGCAGGGCTCCCTATTTTTGAATCTTGGTCTTTCTTTCTCAGGACCACTCCTATCATATCAACCTACTAGCTTGCCATGTTCCACAGGTGATGCCTGTGGTAGCATGTCAGTTGTCTCAATCCAAATGGATTCTCTTGACAGAACAGATGCTGTGTCGCAAGATTCTGTTGGATCGGCTCTCATTTTGCAACTCTGACTGGTGGGTTGGCCTCTCATTGGATCACCCAACTATTGGAAATTTGGTCTCTAGTACCTCACCTTTGGGCTTTGGCAATGGATGCATTCCATCAGAACAGAACGGGATTACAACTCTAGGTCTTTACTTCAATTCATATGTTACCTAAGGTACTAAATATGATTTGTTCCAACCCGTTGTTGGGTCCTGTTGATAGCACCAGCTTGGCAGCTACACCCTGGTTTCTGCTTCTGTGGTACCTTGTAGAGTGTCCACTTCTTCTTTGGCCATCTCTGTGGAGGCAGCCATGATCTTACATGGTATACCCAGCGATCCAGATGTTATGCAGTCCTTAGCATTTCATTTCTTAGATTGCCATGTATCTGTCTTAGTTTTTACTTTGTCCAAAGATGAACATTTATGAATGGAAATGACATGCATATTGGCGATGGTGTATCGAGAGGAGATTGAACCCACTTCGATTAGAAGTGCCAACCATAACTGATTTTTTTTTTTACCTGGCTATTTGGCAGGGTTTTTGCATTTTCCACAATCACCCTGTTTAAGGCAGCCTTATTGACTACTGTTCAATCTCACAACTAAATATTCTTTGAGTCCCCAGTACTCTCCTTATTTCACAAATTAATTGGGTCCTTGGTCCCAAATGACCATTCTAGTTACCTAACAGGTATATTCAGGGTATATTGCATGCTCTTTCTCAACACCTGTTTGTGACCTAATTCTTATATGTCATACATCACCTTTACCTGAAGGACTATTTTTCATGGCTGCTGACCTACAGACTTTGCTGGTCAGAGTGATTTGTGCTGTTTGTCCACAAACCAGTTCTTCTTACCCAAGACACTGTCAGACAGGGAAAGGGATAAATCATTTTCACCAATTCATCTGATCATGGCCCAGCATAGCCAGGTGATTAGGGTGCTCAGCTTGCAATCTGAGGGCCATGGGTTCAAATCCCCATCCCAACAAACATGTTTGCCCTTTCAGCTGTGGGGTGTTATAATGTGATGGTCAATCCCACTATTCATTGATAAAAGAGTGGCTCAAGAGTTGTTGGTGGGTGGTGTTGACTAGCTGCCTTCCCTCTAGTCTTTCACTGCTAAATTAGGGACAGCTAGTGCAGATAGCCCTTATGTAGCTTTGCATGAAATTCAAACCTCTTCTTCTGTCATCTGATCACTATTTCTCACTTCTATGTCCAGTCAGATTTTGATCGTTGTCATGTTCAGTGAGGGTCTTGAAGATTTTGTTGCCTGCACTAATGCCTTTAGAGATGCTAGACAATGACTTTTTATTCTGGGCTCTCTTTTCTATGTCTTTATTGGTCTGGTTGAATTGCCCACTTTTATACTGGCAGTATCTTCATCTTGAGGTTTTTGCCTACCCCCTATAGCTATCTTACCCATTTCTGCTAGATTATACAGAGGGCTGAGTATTTTCATTGCTACCTTTCAGGGTTCCTTACCTCGTTTTCACAGGATCTCACTCTTTGGCATGCAGGTGTGCTTTTATCAAACCAATTCTGCACTAGCAACCACTAATTCAATATACTTTATACAGGTTGCAACAGGCTCTGTAGAAATGAGGTGTCTCCGTGTAATTCCAAATGCAGAGTAGTCCCATCCTCCCCATGAGTCTGGGGTAAGTGGAATTTACCTTGACAACATGGTTGGGGAGTGAGGATGAGTGTTCATAATTCCAGACCGGATGAGTTCTGTTTCCTCAGGTTGAATAAGGCATACACGATCCCGTCATTCTGAACCTGGGGTGTTACCTTTCGGACTTCTCCGTGTTGAGGAGAAGGTTTGTCCACTTCAGTGTTGCTTACTTCCTCATCATGATTTTGGTGGCTCGTAATGCATCACTCTCTGGCTACAGGTTAGGATCCAATCATAAATATATATATATATATAGTTTGTGGTCCCATTGCCCTAGCCACCAATGTGGGATATAGGGACCATGGCCCTTTAATTCCAACCTCGAGTAGTGGAACCTTAGCTATCACCTATAGAGATGATAAATCATGTAAAGTTCCACCCACAATACAGGAATTAAGTTCCAGGTGAAGAGCATACCTGTTCTGGATGTAATGGGTTCCCCCACTAGGTGCCAATCTTCTATTGACACACCCGTGATCTATGCAGACACTTTCTCCTCCACCTTATCAATGTGGGGTTCTATCTATAAGTGTGAGAGGAGGTAAGTATGTTTTGGAAGTCAACATTTTCTTAAACCAAAAAATGTGTTTCCAATAATACTTACCTCCTCTCCAACTCTTCCACCCCACTAAGAGCTGGTGTTAAGAGACTGGGGTTGAGTCTGTCTCAAAAAAGTATAACATTATCTGAATGAGGTGCTTATATACAGTACCAGGATAGTGGGCACATTGATGTAGGTGGAGAGTGTCACAAGATAAATATTGCCAATGGCAATTGAGTGGGCATAAAAGACTAGAGCAAGCAAGAATAAATCAGACCAATGCTTAGATGGGCAAAGGAAGAAACCCTGGCCATTGAGTAATAACTTTCAGTGTGAGAGGGGTTAGTATTATTGGAAATACATTTTCAGTTTAAGAAAATGTTAACTTCCTTAATATGTTTTCCAATTGTATATTCCAGCATGTATCTGCATAAATGTAAGATATGAAACATTCTCTTTTATATGGAACAATGATTTTTTTTCTACAACTTTCAACCATCCCAAGAGATTTTCATAATTTCAGAATTAAAGCTGGGCTTGAAAAATGAGGATAAATCTATCTCAGTATTATGTGCCCTTAGCAGTTAATGCTGTCTTGAACTTTTGATTTAGGTTTTCAGGAAATGTGCTGATCTCTTGATCAAAGATATAGTTTGAGATATGTTGGAGAAGGGAATCTTGTACAATGGAAACATAACCCGTGGTGTTGAAATCTAGTAGTCTTCTTCTTGACTGCTTCCCTAATACCATCATCAGGCCCTTTGCTTTGTGAAGTTGCTTAAAAGGCTCATTCACGATCCAAGTTGAAGTCCTGTTTATGGTGATAGTGGTTAATAAAAAACATACTGGTCTTTATATTAGCCAGTATGATTCATCACTGAAGTACTAAATTTTCTTTAATTGTGTGGTGTTTGTGTGTTTGGAATTAGTACCTAGCTATAGTCAAATGGGATTAAATCAGTATTTTTTAATCCACTCTATGCTGCCACTACCATGATGTGATGAGAAAGCAAGGTAAGAACATTGGCAGTTCCTGTCAAGGACAAGTTCCAAATCCTTGAAGAGGTACCCACTAAGAAAGGTATATGAAAGAATCCAAAACAGGAGAGAACAGTTTTAGAAGCTGTGTACTGCTTTGGCTATAGGTTAAGATTTCTAAACATTTATAGGATGTAGTTTCACAGTCTCTAAAAAACGTTGTAGTTTGGATGAAGAGGCTTAATATAATCAAACCTTGTAATTATTCTGGTATACTGTGGGGTATAAAAGACTGGTGCAAGCAAGGATAGGAAGCCAACTTTTCTTTACAGCTTTAACCACTCGCATGTTTTATGTCTTCTGGCATTACAATGGATGCGTAAAAATCAGGAAACCCATTAATCATTTGCCTTTTTCTAAATTATTTATTTTTTGGGGGTATAATGAGTTTATAAATTCAGAAGGAACAGTTTATTTGTGTTTTTGGAATTAGCTAATTCATTTATAAACTAGAAGCTAGTTTGAAAAATTTACAGTTTGAACTTAGTTTACAAGAAAATATCTATTGTAGATTAAGTTGTTATGAATGTTTTAAACCTGTGTGTGATTCACATTACCAAAGCTATGGTTTGTCTTTGCCACTCACAAATATGTATTATTCTATGTGATCTCCAGGTTGGATAACTTGTGTTATGGATTTAATTTATGTTCTATTGGTCTTGTTATTCTTAGACAAATAGCTTTAAAGGCTCTAAGTGAACGGCTTAGCAAGCAAGATCAGTCTGCCTGGCCTTCTCTAGTGGATGATGAAAGATCAACAGAAACCAAGGAGGATCGAGGAAAGAAGGTAACCATAGCTATGCCTCCAACATCACCACATCAGAGCTCTCTTCCCCAGTCAGTGTCAACCACAAGTAGTGGCAATGGTAAACCTAGTGAAACCATTGTCACAACTCACAGTATGGTGGCTCCAACAGCATCCAATTTATAAAAATGAAAGTATACAAAATATTTTGGGTTTGTGTTTGAAAATATTACACTTTTCAACTTTTTAAGGCTTTCAGCTCATTGACCTGTAAAGTTTTTTGGAGACTACATAAAATGATTTGGTGGTAGGCAAGCGGTGTTCTCTAGCTTTAGTAATCTAAAGCCACATAAACTCCTGACATCAAAAGAATCTTCAGAACTAACAAACATCAAGTGCATATAGCTGTATTCAAGAAAAAACATTTAACTCATTTTAAAACAGGTGATGGAATTATGTGACACTATACTGCTGTAGCCTTAATGATCTTTTAATCTCTTGAAGGCAAGAAACTTTAACACTAGTTATTTAATCAGCTTTGTATGCTTTTTATTTCATTATACTCTTTGAAAAGTCACCTAACCTTGAATAACAAGTATCTCTAAGTTGGACTACCTGGTTATAGCCTTGAGAACTGACATAATAGGATAAAAACAATGAATTAATACTATTAAAGTTGCCTGTTGATGGGATTGAAAAGTCAGTTAACTCTTGCAAGGTAAGTTAATTCAGGAATAATTATTTTGAAATAGCCAGCGAGTAAAATAAATTTCTTCACAATTTAAGTCATGTACTGATAGCAGATTTTTTTTCTAATTCTGAACACATTTATTTAGCTGCAACCACATAAATGCACCTAATCTGAAGTTTTTCAGTAATGCATAAAACCATTTTGTTGTAATCATTCAAAATAAAGCTTGTCTGGCAAATGAAGTATTAATGTGGTTAAAGGTTATTTTCATCAGTCATGTAATTTACAGGATGCAGTATCTTTTGGCATACTATGGTGATTAAGAACTATCATTCTGAAGATGTATTTTATTTTAACTATAGTTAGTATTGCACTTAGGCTACCATAAGTAACATAGTACAGTATTGATATGAATCATAGTTAAAGTTGGAAAAGAACAATTGAACATGATTACTATTATAAAAAGATAAATGCAAGGTGTTAGTAGCTATCCTTATAATAGCAATACAAAGCTTAAACAGCTGACTTTAGACATACTGAGTTGAAGTTGTGTTTCATATGATGTCATCATAAAGATTAAATTTATTTTGACTGTTCTTTGTGGAATAAGAAGTTAGAGTAATTATCATAATTTCTTTGCATAGAACTTTCATATATAACTTGAAAAATAAGCTACTTGAATTACAGTTCATTCAAAGTCATTATTATAAATTTGTATAAGGGTTTTCACATTTCTCAAATCTTTCAGTAGAACACAAGTCACATTTAATTTTCAAACCAAAAAGCAAAATTTGCTTTGATATCATATGTGTCTTCATTAAAAATACATAACCTGAGTGAATATTTTTCTACAACAAATGACACTGTGCAGGTTTAGATGTGATTATGTGTCAGAAATATAATGAATGTGTATATAAAGATAACATTTATTTATGTGAATAGATTTTATTTACATAAGAGTTTTAAAACTTCAACATACAGCAGCCATATTTGTATAATGATCTAACATGTATCCTAGCTGGCCTGATGAGCCCTGATATTAGACAGAAGCCATCATTGGCACAGTATATGGCAGATATAGCATTGTTGACATACTATTTACATATTCTTCTTTGCTTTCAATCATAAATTCTTAGAATTTTTAATTAAATGTAAATTACAGGCCATTAAACATCAAAAACTGTCTTATTTTTAAAAACTTGTGTTAAACAATAAATTGTACTTTTTCAACATTTTTATTCTGCTTAACTTTTTTGTTTATAAATTCAATGTATATTTTAATATTAGCAGAATAGATTTCATCTTTCGTATATATTGCATTGAGTCTTTGCATGGTAAGTCTCGTTAACATATTTCTGGTTTATGTTCATGTAGTAGAAGTAGAACAATGCAGGTGAGAATCCACTATCGTACAATCTGTTTAGTTTTCAATCCTAGGCAGACAAAATATCAATAACACATTATCTTTGATGACTCTTAAATACAGAATGTAAGATTGACTCACTGGCAGATTAAAATCCCCAAGTGTAAAGCTGATGAAAAAACAAATGAAAACAAGTATAGTTTTATCGATTTACACAACTGATTTACATTCAATTATCAGCTAACTGTAGTAGCTTATGATCAAATCAAGAAAGATAAAATAATGAATCAGTAACTAGTGAAGATCAACAATTGTAATTCTAATGTGTGTGTGTTCTAGTCTTATAAAGTGAAGCATTGGTATTTAAAGTTCTAAAAGCATAAAAACATGATTTATGCTTGTGTTTATGAACATAGAATTTGGACTCATTTAGTAGTTTAACTCAACAAGTAGTTTAACTTGTAATCTTGGTGTTTTGGGGAGCATAGAAAATATAACTGTGAATGAATGGATAATAATAATAACTAATATTATATTTTGTTCATTCTTGTAAATTCTGAAGAGTAATTGTTTGGTAAGGGAAGTTAATTAACTTACTACATTAGGTTATGTACAAGTATTGAAAGTGAAACAACGATCCCTGTCGAGTGAAGTTCACTAACTTACTACATTAGATTATGTTCAGGTGTAGAAAGTGAAATAATGAACTCCGTTATGTGAGGGTCGAATTAAAGCTTTATCAGTGTCATTTCATTTAATGTTCATTCTCAAAATAAAATGGTAACCCACAGCAGCACTTTTAATACATTCAATCGTAAGAATTAAAACTATGAAATATTGTAACTTCAGTTAATAATGAAGCTAAAAATATGGGGCAATATCTCTTTGGGAAGTAATATCTCACTTTATTTATAGCATTGTTTTAAAGATTAAAACATGGTGGACAATTTAATCCCTGAAATACATTGAGATTAAGTAAACAATATATTGTGCAGTTTTTGCTGAACTGTCATTTGTACATACATATATTGAAGTTTATATTTGTATATAGTGTTCTAACATGTCAGTGTACCATCACAGAACACAAAAAAAACTATAGTCAGACAGATAATAAAATCTCTTCCAATAAAGCAAGAGCTTTGGAGACAGTTTTGTGCCGGGCTTGAATTCCTATGTTGCATTATATTAAAAACTTTTATTGCTACTCACTGGTCATAGCTAATATTAGATATAAAAGTACACATGTGAAACTGCAAAAGCTTTAATTGAATAATATTGAGTAGATTTTATAATTACTAATCTATTGCTTTTGATAACCAGAAAAAACTTAATCCTTTTTGCATCTTAGATAATATAGAGCTGCACGTATTGAGTTGATTAATTCAGCAGTTAATATTTAACAATTTCTATCTTATTTTAAATAAGAAGTACAGTTTGTAGTCTCTGAATTCAGGAATCTTTTCAAATGTTCTTTCCATTACATTCAAGCTGTTGTGTTGCAAGAACAACTATAGTTTTAAAAAATTCTATTTATTAGAGATATTGAATTGAGGTTTATAATTTGCTTTATAAAAATTACTTGTTGCCACCTTGGAAGATCTAGAATGATAACACATGGAGTCTAAGTACATCATGAAAGGATAAATGTGTTGAGTTTTTTGTTTTTTTTTCTGTATCAGTTCATTTTGTTCACAAGTATCTCAAGAAAATTTCTAATAGCCCAAGAACATTTTCATTATTTTAACTGATCAATTATATATATTATTCAAATTATAAGTACCACTTTGTTATTATATATTCATCTTGTTTGGCACCATTGAGCATTTTATTGCTCATGGACTGTACTAGGCTGACAGTTAAAGCTTGAAACATTTACAACTAGTGTAATAGGCATAATGACTGTTCTTTCTTACAGCTTTATCTTTTAGGGTTTTCTGGCCATATTTGTATCTGAAGTTTTTCTCTAGACAATGTATTTTGGCTGTTGTGTAAATCCTATATTTTTCAGAAAGAGTTCACGGTTCCAAGAGAAACATTAATGTTCATCTGAATTTTCTATTTTGGGTTTGTGTTGCCTTCCAGCAAGTATGGCTTGTTGGAAAAACATCCACATATTATTAAAAAATTAATAGTTTTAGATCTGGCTTTCATCTTTAAGTTGTGTGTGTGTGTGTGTATAGACACACACACACATAACAAGTATATATATAGAATTGTATACATATATATATATTTATATATCTGTTTGGAAAAATAACATTGTAAAAGTACACTAAATACATAATATAAGACTATCACACATTTGGTGCTATGCTGAATGGTGATGTGGCCTTCAATATTTCACAGGCTCTTGAAGTAAAATTCTAAAGTCCTAAACCTATCAGAATTCTGATTCCACTATCTAGTCATCTATGTACTGTATATATCACATAGCAGTAAACTTAAAATTTGAAATTTACCTTCTGCATTTCCAGTATTAGCATAAAAATAATGTCCAGAGTTTCTTACATATAGATCAACCATCCCTGTTAACACTGGGTATGAAAGATGAAGAACCAAAATGGTAGGATCCCAAGGAGTCTTCCACTCTAGTATTTGTGGAGAACCTTAAGGATCTTCCACTTTAGTATTTGTGGAGAACCTTAAGGATCTTCCACTCTAGTATATGTGGAGAACCTTAAGGATCTTCCACTTTAGTATATGTGGAGAACCTTAAGGATCTTCCACTTTAGTATTTGTGGAGAACCTTAAGGATCTTCCACTTTAGTATATGTGGAGAACCTTAAGGATCTTCCACTCTAGTATATGTGGAGAACCTTAAGGATCTTCCACTCTAGTATATGTGGAGAACCTTAAGGATCTTCCACTCTAGTATTTGTGGAGAACCCAAATGTTTGTTCTGCCAAATCCTATCCCTTGGACCAAAAACTGCGTAAAGCATGTGTTTGTGACATAACACTACACATAACCTACAACAGTCTAATTAATCCTTCTTTTGAGTAGCTTAGCCAAGTTGATAGATTAGTCCATTTCTATACTGTTGTCTTTAAAAATAGGAAGAACAAGGATTACATTTGGCACATCAAGGAGGATAGGATTTGAGAGAATTATCATACTGCCATTTATCTTTCTTCTCAAAACTTACTTTTGTATTTTTGTGATTGGATTCACATTATGAAACAAATATTTAGGTTTTTGTTATCAAGATTTTCTCTAAAAATTATAATTAAAACATTATTCCTCTTACCTAATGATACCTAGCTTAATGATAGCATTATTTAATGAAAAAAACCTGTCAACAATTGTGCCTATAATTTTCTTGCTTTGGCCATCATATGTAGTGGCAAAATAAGAAATACTGAACATAATTTTTATGCTAGGTTAGTATGTAACTGCAAGGATCTAAGTTTTTGGTTCATTTGAATTTCATTTTCATTCATTTTATCAAGTCAGATGGAACACTATCATATTCAGTTCAAACAGAATTATTAAATATATTTTACATTCAAACTGTCATTTCTTGTGATGTTTTTCATGTTTTTTTGTGCACTAAACAAAAGATTTTGCTAATATTTTATTATTTAAGAGAATGTGCAATTTCTTAATGATATTTTCCTAATCATTGAACTGTTTTTAATGCTTGTGGAAAGTTTTGTTTAATTAGGTGAATTTAATAAATAATTCAGATGAACCAAAGTAGTCAGATGACTAGATGTAGTAGTAGTGGTTGCATGTTTTATTTGATGAAAGTAGGCTTGATGGTATCATAATTTACTTTTGTTTAGGATTTTACTGCAAGTGCCTGTGATTCAAAATCAAAGTAGCTTGGACTTTTTACGTACACAGTAGTAATGCTGAATGGATTAAAATTGAAAAGTCACAATGCTAAATGGGCTTGAATCAAAAGGAATAAGACCAAAAATAAAAACCTAAAACAGGCCAAAAAAAAAAAGTACTATCCAACTGTTTTTGAGATTGTTCCTTTTGATGCTAGTCTGTTCAATTTTGTTCCTCCTTGAATAAATTTTGGTACTAGTCCTTTCTGTGTTATTCCATTCAGCATTATTATGCCTCTTATTCATAAGTGTTCAATTTTCTGATAATACAGATGAAGTAAATGGTCATTTTTAATATCAATTTTAAATGTCTATGGATGTATTTTTAATTGCATGTTGTGAACCCAAACAGTATGTATCTGGAATGCTATTACACCATTCTGTGTGAACATTGTCAAAATTTTTCAAGTTGCTTATTTGATTGGTGGCTTACTTTCATTTCTAAATTTTCTGCTATTTGGAAAATTTTATTCAAGTTAATATCATATAATATTTTATGTTAGGTACTAAAAAGATTCCTTTTTGATAGCAGAGCCACATGAGATATCTCACACCTATCATGGGTTTTTTTTAGGGATTAAACCAGTTATTTTATGACATTACTCAAAGATTTACCTATAATGTTTAAAGCTGATACTTGGATAGATGTCCAAATACCATGAAACCGATGTTTCATAAATATTTATATTGATATTTACAAACATGGTTTCCATCACAATTAGATAAGATACTATGTACATTTGTCTTAGCAGTGATGATACCTTTTAACGTGTTTGTTATCTGCAATGTATGAGCTTTTCAAAATCTAATAAAATGATTTCCTGTGAATTTAATTATTTCTTCATTGTAAAATGTTTTGAGGTTCAAATAGTTGCATGTTATAATTAGGCTTATTACATTTTTGAAAAATAACAATAGGCACAAATATCTGTTGTACTAATTAACATATTTCTACATGCAAATTTTATC